AGGGTGAAGTATGGATCCTCCGATAATTTTACAGCGTACCACTCGTGCAGTGTACCGCTTGTATACTAGCCTTCGTAACACCAGGGGAAAAGTATAGACCCTCCTATTTTACAGTGTACAAGTCGTGCAGTATACGGCTCGGATACTAGACTTTGTAACCACAGGGGGAAAGTGTAGGAACCCTCCTATTTTACAGAGTACTATTCGTGCAGTATACCACTCGTCTGCTAGACTTTGTAACACCAGGGGGAAAGCAAAGACCCTTCTTTTTTACATTGTACCATTCGTGCAGTGTACCGCTCGTATACTAGACTTTGTAACACCAGGGGGAAAGTATGGTCCCTCCTATTTTGCAGTGCATCGCTAGTGCATTTAAATATCCATAGTATTCTAGACTGCTTACTTTTCCACCAATAGCCCAAGCCGCAATGGCTGCAGATCCAGCACACTGAGTGATCGCCGGAGGCATGTTAGGACCGTAACATTCACCAGAGTAGTTCAAGTACTCTCTTTTGAAATCATCTCGACACTCGTACAACAACATGTGATGAACCATTCCCTCGTGACCTGCCTGGATGACAGGTTCGACCTGATTTGGAAACGGAGGCAGAAATATTATTAAGTCGAATTATTCTGGCATTTTATTTGGTTCTTACTTTTAATTTTTTGGTTTCAATATTATATAAAACAGGTATATTCAATGCTGATGCGGTATATTCGGTTCTAGATTACAGAGGACGTCAAAATGTGGTAAGGACGTAAGTCTAATGGCTCGTGTGCCACTTCTTGTTCTTGCCACATTTTGATTTTAAGCTCGTTTATAAAAATTTTTATCGAGTGTGTCACTCATTGTCATGAGCATGTAACTAAAATAAAATACCTACCATGAACTTTATAAAATCATTGATAACACGTTATATAGAAAACACAGCCAATTAGAATACAGCTGGATAGACGTTGCCCACCAGCATGGTATACCATTGACTTAAAAGTGTTGTTTAACAAGTATAGATTGCTTAGCACGACAAAAATCTTCTATATAAGGTCACTAATAACTTTGGTCCTTATTAAAATATAAACTAATTTTCTTTGTTCAGAGCTAAAAAAACTGGTTTAAAAGTAGAATATTAAGTTCTTATCAACCGAATTTCATCATCCAAAAAGGTGTGAATGCTAAGAAGAGTTATATCACGTTCATTAGGGTCTCTAGCGGGGGTAGAATGATGTCATAGATTTTTGATTAATTGGAAGCCGTTCTCTCTGTTCAAAGAAGACTTTTGTAACCCGGGATCTCAATTGCCTCGTTTGTGCGACGTTTGAACGTGTTTCTTTCCGTCGCAAGAACTTTTGTTTTTCTGGAATTCATTGAATCTCACGTGAGCTAGCAATGTTCATGAAAAGCCGAGGAATTCCTCGAAACATGTTTCTCTACCCGTTTCTAATAAACATTCACATTTACATGTTAAAATTGCGGCTGATGAAGTTCGGTTCTACTTTTAAGGAAATTATAGTATCGTTACTCCAGAGCAGGAAACAACATTCTTGGTTGAACTTTGTTCGTTGTTGTCGAATACTTGCTTGTTGCTAACCTAAGCATTCTCTTACACCTGGTATTATATTAAACACACCTTTACGATGTGGCGTACTTCATTGAATTTAGGCATCTCGAATACTCGGCACTTGTAGGTGGTGCGGCTGGTTGACACGACGGTCTGAAAAATTTAGTCACGAAAATAACAGTCATATGTTAATATAATAGAGCAGCCAGTTCTTTACACTAACTCTCTTAGTTCTCCTCAGGGCCGCCCGTATGATTGTGAAAGGGTTGCAAATAGTTATGTCTTATTTTTTCTGGTTAGGAATGGTAATTAACTTAATTAAGACAATTTCCAGCACTTTCTGAAGGGTCATTTTTATCACTCTTTATTAGCTGATGGTACAATCATGGTATCAAAAAGCTGTCCAATCAATGGTGAACACGTTGTTATCATTTTCGTGACATAACAGAACCACATTAAATTTTGGAAAATTTAAGGTGGCTCTGAACCCCACCTACAGATTTCTTTTAAATTTTGCCAATAGCTGCGTCTTATCCTGGTTTTCAAAATTCACTTATGAAAAAAGGGTTTTACCGTGCAGTATTTGAAATTAAAATTAAAGGGTGTTTTTAGCAGGCTATACTGTTTGTGTGGTAACATTTGGTGGCACAAAAATGATAGTAACGTCTTTAGCTATATACGGGCAGTTTTCCATACCATGATTGTGGCATCAATAGATTAAGAGTGATAAGAATGACCCATCAAAATCTACGTCTTGGAAAGTGCTAGAAACTCTTTAAAGCCACCTTAGAAACTCAGTCAAGGAGTTATTGTGGCTATGTACAAAATTATTTTCAAATTGAAGGGGACATAATAATAGCAGTTAGCTGGACAGAAAAACAACAAAGAGATAATGATAAACCATAGAGGGACAGGGATGGTTAAGGATGGAGAAGATTAACACGGATTACAAACGACGGACTTGAAAAGTTTAGGGCAAACTTTCCAGGATGCGCAAGTCGTGACATAGTTGCTCTGACCAATGGAGGTACCAGTTTTGGAAAGCCTGGGTTTCTTTGTTGAACCTTGAATTTGCACCGAGGGCCAACGTAGACGTTAGCCTTTTGAACTCCATTAATTTCAGTGGCGATCCAAACCTTGAGCTAAGGAAAGGGGTTGACACCGGGGGGGNGTTTTTCTTCGTTCTGTGATTTTTTCTTTTTGTAACCAAAATAAGCCGGGGGTGGGGGAAGAGGAAGCTCCCCTAGACCCGCTACTGCGTTTCCGACAGAAAAGGTAGCCCTTTCATATACCATCCCCTTTCTGCGTCCCTTTGCACGCAATGACCTTGATCCGAAGCTCGCTTGGTAACCACTCCCAACCCATTTACGTCCAAGGGTTAAAGAAACAAAGTAACTTTGTCACTCAAGCTGTTTTCTCAGAACAAATGTATTGGAGAAAAAAAAAACAAAAGCTGATCTCAAATTGTACAGGATCTAAGACTGACTTACCCTGTTGTGTCTCAATACGAATGTTTCAGTGTCCGATGGTAAAGTTGGCACTTTTTCAAGACTGTTAAGCAGCATCAGGCTTCTAGCTCCCCTGTTTTGAGGACTGTGCATTGGAATTTCATCCTCTGAGGAAGGGTCGTCCGGGTGGTAGGCATAAATAACTTTGGTTGTTCCAGCCTGGAAAAGATATATTTAAAACAATTATAGTACTAAACCAGATGATTTATCTGACTCATGTGGTGAGACACCTATTGCAAAAACGAGTTAAAAGCGAGTTAAAGGCCAGTTACGTTTCAAACAAAGATTTTTTGTTGTTGTTCTCTTAACTTAAAATTATTTTAGTTCTCGGTTAGTAGTACACGACGCATATGCCCAAGGAATTTCTTTGCTTATGGCACGCTGAACAATGTATGAAAAGTGTTAAAATCAATATTGTCTGTTGTCCATTCCTCTATCCCAGAAGAAAGACGTCGAATGATGGGGAAGCCTAAGGCAGATTTCAAGCGATCTGTAGATTCAAGCAGTCGTTGTTTCCCATAAACACTTCACTCTTTAACTAGACGTATACCCAGGTAAACGTACGAATAAGCCAGGAACACTGCTCCAGCATCCCCTTTCAACTCACTTGTGGGGATAAATAGTTTTACTTGTCACGTTACATACCAAGCCGTAGAAAATGCAGCCAAACAAAATACAGCAAAGTTCCTTTTTTTACACCCAACCTTCCATCGTGCGCAGCACTTATTGTGATGGCCATTGCCTCTCTTGTGGCATGGTATCAAATAGTCATGGAAAACATTCGAGACTATGCCTTGGAACTTGCCACTGGAATTTCCTTGCGCTGCATACCTGTCGTAGTATGTACACATACAGTGTACATAAGACTAATTTATACACGTTAATGTCGTTGTTCCTAGCGAAAGTAAGTAACCGTGGCGACTTGCAATTGAAACAGACAAACAACTCGTGATGGCGTTAATGGGGGAACAATGCCTTGCGTTTGGTTAGCCCATGCAACTTCCGGCGATAGCGTGACAAAACAACCTCACTTATCTCCGCAGCACTACGAGCAGAATGACAGACAGCGCGTGCTGGATCGGACAAGAGTATCGGTTAGCAAACGATGTTGAAAGGCGATGCAAAAACAACAAGCTTGGGGGAAGTCGCTGCGCAGACTTAACCGCCACAGATGCATGCAAGGCAATGCATTTACAAAAATTAAACGATAGATTTACAATAAGTAATAGCTACGTTGCTTAGACGAACTCAAATTGGACTCTGAACAGTTGTGCCAGCTTTTACATGGAGACGTTCATCTGCTGGTAAGCCAGTAGAAAAGGCTGTACTACCGAACACCTTACCCTAGCACGTGTAACGTCTTGTAACATCACGTGTAACTGCTCAATAGCTCTATAGAAAGTGATACTGTCATGAACGGCTCATTGAGAACGTACGCCACACTTCATTAACTATATTTTACTGGCGTGACAGTAAAATCTCATATAATAACATCAAAGCTTCCAGGTGCAAGACATGATTTTCTTGGCCAAAAATTAGAGAAATGGAAAAAAAAAAATGTAAAACTCAACCAACTTACCTCAATTTTGTTGTCCTCTGAATCGCAAGTGTCAAACTTTCTTTTTATCTTCATTATGGTTTTTCCGTCCTCCTCCTTCAGTGAAATCAACTCATAGTCCTGCTGTGAATCGACCTCTGGCATCACTCGACCATCTGCATGTCTATCCTACAACACAGCCACGATTACACATAAAGTTAATGATTCACCCGGGACTACTACTGTTAGTGACACTGATCCAAATCTGGCCTGGGGGAGGAGGGAGCCCTTAACCCCTCCCACTATATTTTTTTTTGCGCTCGTCGCAAATTTTCCCATAATGCGACCTAATGCGGAAATTTGACGCTTGCTGCGCACGTGACGTAAGTAGACAACATTTGCATGTAGTCTGTCATGTAAGTGTCAAACAAATAAAGCGGTTGTCACGCCTTCCTGTTGATTTTCTAACTTATTTTTTGTTCTTCTCTTAAACTTCAGGCAGCCTTCCATAATTTACGTGTCATTTGCATTACAACATCACATCCCTCCTCTGCTTGCCCTACAACGTTACGCTTAAGTTCTTGCGCGAAATGATTCGAGTCGGGTCGACTTTTCATCAGAGGGTCGTGATGATCTTGGTTGAGTCGAGTCCATACCGACACATTTCTACCCTCCTCCGCTTCTTCAATTAATGCTATGCTGGAATTTTCTACGTTTCTCCTGAAACGACTTCCTGTGACTCGGCACGTCTTTTCAAATGAACCGTTACGGGTCGAGTCGATCCTACAACATTTACAGCTCCCGGCTATAAAGCCAAGAGACTAGTCTATTGATAAGGCCTAGAACGTTACGTCTCTCGCCAAATGACTTTCTGAGTCTCGGCTCGTTCGCCACCTTGGCTCTTAAATGATCAGACTCAGTTCGCGAGCATTCGACAACCCTCCTAGTCAGACACGCCACGCAAGTAAATTAAATATTCGCGTTATATTAAGGAGTAAGGCAAGCTTCGTGTTTGTTATTGTATCAATCAGTCCGTGAAAAATATTGTTAACCGGCGTTGAACCATGCATAGAAGTTTGGGCGAACCATTTGAAAGTTTTCAAAGAAGCCGCAATAGCATTTTGTAATGGCCGATTTTCTATTTTCTATTTTTGTTTTTTGTTTTGTTTTTTTTTTCAGACCTGAACATGCATTACTCACCTTAAAGTAAGTTTTGCCATCTTTCACCCAGCCTATTACAATATCGGCTCCTTCCATCTTGCCTTGTCCACTGGAGATTCCAAACCCGACCCATCCAGTCGTTTTAGCTTCTACCGTGAAATATATCTCTTTTTCTTCAGTGCTAACATTCCAGTACAGATTCACATTTTGATCTTCATCCAGAGCAGCGAAAAAGGAATGCTCTATGGCGAGTTCAGCTGAAGCTTGCAGCGCAGCTAAATGTAGAAGGAACAGACACAGAGGAACAATAGTCATCTTGCTCTCGGTTGCCAGTTGTGAATAACTTGAATCTAGCCGCTGAGTTACCTGGTACTTATACAGGACGCCGTAGCGCACAAGGAACTAGGCACTGGGAAAGTTAAGTTGTCATCCATGGCTCCTTTTCCTTATTTCACTCATTATTACGTAAGCCATATAATGAACTGTAGTTTTGTAGGTACTGTTTCCGTATAATTTGCCCTCGTGAGTGTAAAATGTTCTTACGCGAGGTCAACTGAGGCTTACCATGCAAATAAAACATAAAAGAAATCACTTCCCGTGTTCTAACTATGAAAAAAACGCTCCTTTACTTGTGCAATGTTAGAGCTTCTAGCTAACAGCCTATCTACAGTTTGCGTCTAATTCGAAAAAGAAAAGCTTCTTTCTACCTAATAATTTTGTTTTTCCTCTTGATTATAGAGACGTCCTGGGTTGGACGTTTTTTTTTCCTTGTTGGTGTCAATTTACTTCCGTGATGAAACATAACGCATTCCTCCACATCAGTGCAATTTCCTGATGAAATGCATCGATCCTTTCTTGTAATGAGTTTACTTCCGTGACTAAATATTTACCATCTTTACTTCATTTAATGAAACTGGCAGCTTTTTGTCCCCAGATATTCATAGCCCGCTTAGTCCACCAGGTTCCTCGCGGCATCGCCGCTCTCGCGCTTGCTCGTGCTCTACCCCAACTAAACGGCCAGCAGCACAGGCTAAGATTTTCATACAAAAATAAAACTGGCAGTGTCTTTGCTCTAAAACATGTTTATAATTTACAATTCGGCACTCGGAAGTAGATATATACTTGCCGGGACCGAACGTGTTCTGTTTAATTTATATTTAGTTCCCTTCTAAACGGGCCCACACTGCTCAGTATCGGCTGCGCCAGTATGACACACTCGCCTAACCGCTCGAGTGACACTTTTTCGTTCTTTTGACATCATCTGTAATCTATTTAACAATTAGATTACGAGCTTGAGATTTCTTTGCGTGATAGTTGACGAGGGCGTTCTCCGCGTCAACTATCACCCATGAAAATCTCGAGCTCATAATCTAATTGCTTAAGTATAAATCTACTGGTCGTTCAAAACTTTGTCCAAATCCTCTTCACAGACACTTACAAACTAAAGGCAAAGCGGCAGCTGCCAGTCTATCAAGAAACGCACACTGCTAATTAAGCAACTCGCTAACTACAACAGATTATATAATAACCCAAGTTATTCTCGCATTCTGATTGGTTCTCGCCTATGATCTATTAGAGGACAGACGCACGATTGACGTCATCTTTTCAAAGTTTTTCCCTCTGTGTTTTAAAATGGCGGAAAGTTTTGAGAATTTAGATAATATTCTACACGACTGGGCAAAAGACAAGGTACAAGAAAGTCTTGTCCAGGCATTGAACAGGTACCAGAAGAATAGTCTAGTAGGAAGAAGAAAGATAAAGCCGTTTCTG